GTGAAAGCAATCATAAGAATCAGTGTAAAAAATGATGCACGCTTACCGGGAAGATGTCGGCGTGGGTGTTGTTGTTGGCCATGCACAGTGCCCTCTGGTATCATGTCAAATAGAGCAAGGGTCAGTTTTACAATATAGACACCAGAAGGATCTCCCCGGTCGCTCTGCTTACCACTTCTTGATTTGTCGTGAGGTAAAGCCCGTCTCCGAAGACGGCGATCACGAACAGGTTGATGATGTAAGCAATGAAGACGGCAATGCTCGTCTCTGCGAAGTAGTACTTGTTGGCTTCACGCACTTCCACGGGGTTGGCCTTGTCGATGTCGCGAGACTGTAGATCAAACGGCGGCATTGTTTCACGACGGACTGTCTCATCGTTTCATACAAGCACGATGGGTTCGCGGCGAATAGTCGTGTACCTTGACGAGCGCGGAGTGCAGGTACAGGTTGTGGGGGGCGATGATGGCGCCAATGAGCGAGATGATCTGCAGCAGCTCCTGAGTGCCGCAGCCCTCGCACAGCGGCAGCAGGGCGCCCTTGACCACCTCCAGCTGCGGCGGCGCCGACACCACGTACTGCAAGCAGCAGACCGACGCGGCGAGTCAGCCTCAGCGGGGACCTCGTCTCGGCCGGTCGGTAGTGGAAGCCCGGGCCGACCGAGGGGGAAACCGACTGTTAAACTTTGTGTCAGCCGGATTACGGATTACCTGGATTACCTCCGGAGTATCCTCCGGATTACGTTGCTTTTTCTGTAGGATTACCCCGGATTACCCCAAAAAATTTTCCGGATTACCCCCAAATTTCCCCGAATTACCCCGTATTTTTTTAGAATTTTCTCGAATTACCCCTGCCGGATTACCGAACGGCTATGTCAGCCGGATTACCTCAGTCGTTTCCCCCTCGGGACCGACTCTTACCTCGTAACCGAAAGTCACCGCCATGGTGGCGATGAAGAGGCCGAACAGCAGCTCGAGCTTCCGCAGGCCGTACCGGTCGATGAGCAGGAACGTGAACGTGTCGAAGATGGTGATGAGGACGCCGGCCCAGATGGGGATGCTGAGGGAATACCAGAGTAGTAACACCTGCCGTGAGTGCGAAGGGGCGGGGCATTGGCGGAAGGAGAAACGGGAGGGTTGTGGTGCACTCACAGCGTGTTGGACAGCAGGTAGAAGGCGATGGCCGTACCGATCACCTCCTGCATGTCGTTGCCGATGATGGCCAGCTCGATCATGAGCCAGACGAGGATGCGCACGGGCGCCGGGTAGTTGCGGTGGGCGTGCTCCGCCATGTGCAAGCCCGTGACGGCGCCGAGGCGCGCGGCCAGCCGCTGCAGCAGCAGCCCCGCCACCGAGGACCACAACACCACCCACAGCAACTGCGGGACGGGACAGCAGCCTCGGGTCAGCAAACATATCACAGCCAGCTGCTCGGAGGGTACTGGCAGGAGGTCACTCTTACTTTGTACTGCGCCAAGGAGCCCGCCTCCAGGTCCGCCTCGATGTTGCCCGGGTCCAGGTACGCGATGCTGATCAGGAACCCCGGCCCCGTGAACGCCCATAGCTTGCGGAAGCTAAAGGTGTCCTGCACACAGACGATTACAAACAAAAGGCGTCGCAAAGCTGGTACTTACAGATGACGGTAACACGGAACATTTCTACGAGGAGTTTTTACCAAGTACGTCCTCATCGTGCGAAACATCGTGCAGGTCTGCGGTGCTCGGACGCAAAACAAAAAGTTGGGAGAACCTACCTTTTATCACCGCCGGGTATGCGGAATTGAAGCATTGTATGATTGATCGTGTCTTATCGTGACAAAAGAGACACTTCCTTCAACAACAATGTTATCGCGCAAGGGGGAAAACTCGCAGCGAAGGTGAGTTTGTGGCGACAAGGATGTCTCGCCGCCTCCTCAGGAGAGGCGTCCTCAATCCTCACCTCGGGTGCGTCGGGGATGTGAATGCGGTGGTCCGAGTCCTCGCCGTCCTGCCGCTGGCGCGCGCCGAGCAGCGCCGTCCTCTCGGTCGCCGGCGGCGGCGCGGGACGGGGGGAAGACGACACTGATGAGGCGGACGTCGTCGTCGTCGCGGTCCCCTCGGCGACGCGGCGGCCCGCGAGGCGGCGGGCGGCTGCACCGGCGCCGCGCATGTCTGCACAGTACAGGGAGGGCCCAACAGGGGTGGTGAGAACTCGCGAACGACGGCCGGGGCCGGGCAGGCCGGGCGCACCAGGGCGGCGATGAGCAAGTCCAACCGCTGAGCTCCTTCTCCTCGTCCTCGGCGAAGGCCGCGGTGCTGGCCGCCATGCTCGGGCCGCGAGCCTCTCCTGTGCGTTTATGTCGTTACAGCGACCCGCGAGGCGGCGCGGCCCGGCGCGCTGGAGACCGGTCCACGAGTGGATAGGCGAACGACTGCGGGCTCCGGCGCATAGCTAAGCTGCACTTCCCCCCGCGCCTGCCCGCCCCGCCCCGC